ATAATTAAAGAATACTTACACTATAGCGTAAATTAGAAGTGCAACGCAAAAAAACTGGATTTTTACGCCTATTTTGAATTTTACTCGAATACGAATACAAATACAAATACTTTTCCCCCCTCAACAAATACAAATACAGATACAAATACCGGCTGCTTTGCACACCCCTACATGCCATATACAGTATACTGCTGTATGGATGCATATTCACTAATGGTTTATTGCACCAGGTAGGCCTATATATATTGTACAGTTGTTTCTAGCACTATTGCACTCTGTTGCACCTTTCCGGATAGATGCCAAACTACTTTTTGTTGTCTGAGTACAACGACAATAAAGTTGAGTCTAACATGCTGTAATCTAGTCTAGTTTAAATTCAGCCTGTGTTGTAATTCTGTATAGGAGTTTTACTGGTTCATTGCCTCTGTCACTGCGGTTTTTATGTTGTTCCGTACTGTAGCATAAGACACAGCAGAGAGCTTAAATAGTGCTGATGTTAGCAGCAAATATAAGCTGGTTAAATTTAGTTTTTACTTATCTGCTTTAATAAAGGCCCCTTCTGGATATTGAAATTATGGTAATACCTGACGGGGCACAAGTAATACAGTATTATGCTCTTACTTATGTATTAATTAATCACAAACTAAGTCTTACATACTGATCTCATGCGCATTCTTCATTAAGGATTTGTGACGCATGTTTTATCTCAAGCAGTTACTATATTTATATTAATAATTCTGTAAAACTTCGTGCACTACTGAAGGAACAAGTAATGAACAACATAAGTCAAATACTTATCCCTTGTTTGTTCATCATTAATGAATAAACTCATACTGTATACTGTATCTTTTGTCTGAAATAGCAACAAAAGAAGAAATAGTTCTTGTTGGTCTGTAGAGTGAAACAGGAAATAAGCAGACACCCAATCTAACATGTATATAAATAGTTCTGAGCGAGAAAGGGGGAGAGGGGAGGGTTTGATTCATGCATATTAATTCTACAGTCCTTGAACAGACAGTGTGTTAGAAAGAAGAGCAGCAGAGATGGGACTTCAGTACGCTCTGAATTTCTGGATACTAGCTGTTGTCTTTCTACCAGGTAAGAAAAGCAACAACTCAGCATGTGACAGAGTCTTTCGTTTAGATTAAATTTGTTAAAGTTCTCCACAATGTAATTAAAATCTAATCAGCTTTATCCCAGTAGGATTAAGGGCCTTAGCCTTAAAATGGTTAACTTCAAATGTGCCTTTTTAAAAAATAAAACAGGAAACTCTGCAACTTGCAGAACATTTGCAATGTTCGCGTCAGCATTGCCTTTAACCATTTAAATGTAATGTTTACTTTTATATAATGTCGCCTTTTTAAAAATTTTTCTCCAGGGCCGCTGGGTAGCGAATGGGGTGTAGAGTATTCAAGAAATCGACTCTGTGCCATCAGAAGATCCACTGTGGTCATTCCTTGTTCATATAAATATCCAGATTCATTAAGAGTGGAAACAGTCTTATGGTGTAATGATGAGTACTGTACTAAGTCATTTGTCTTTCACAGTAGTAATACAGACGTTAGAACTGAGTACAGAGACAGGGCAGAATATTTAGGGAATAAAGAGAAGAACTGCACATTACAGATAAAGAACATTACAGACAAAGATGCTGGTGTGTATACATTTAGGTTCATGACCAATGTAGAAACGGGAAAATATACTGGAAGCCCTGGGACGACTCTTACAGTTGATGGTAAGTATTGGTAAAAACTTTTTTAATTTTTAGCCAATAATACAATTAAACAACAAGTAAATATAACGTTCATAAAAAAAAACTAGGGCCTAAAGTTATCTTTATTATTTACAAAATAATATTTATGTAAGTATAACTCATTCTTCCTAGAAACAAAATTTTAATGTGTATGTGACTGAAAAATGTTGAGGTTTTGTGGTTCTGTGAATGTCCAAATATGATGAAAAGATTATGGGTGACTTTCTATAAATCTAACAGGTAAATGTTGTCCTTCAGAATTAAAGGTGGTGATGACCTCACAGAAAGAGGGTAAAGGAGTAAGTGAAGGAGACTCTGTGAGTTTGACATGTGGCACAGACAGCTGCTCTCTCAGCCAATCAGAATTCACCTGGTTTAAGGATGACCAGCAGCTCCCAGAAACACAGTCCACACTTCACTTCAGGCCTGCCTGCAAATATCACTCTGCAAACTACTCCTGCGGATTAAAAGGCAACAGACAGACTGTGTCTGAAGAAGTGAATTTGTCTGTTGAAGGTAAGTGTCTCAACACTTGTGGGAGGAATTTCCATATTATGGGAGGTATTTTCTGCAAAAACAAAAATGATAATGATAGCATGAAGATGCAGTCTCCACTTTGCCAATTAGTCTTTATGAAAGATCCTGCAAAAATAAAAAATAAAATGAAATAACACCATTTGCATTTTAATTTTCCACTCATGTATTAGTAATATGTTAATTTGTGAAAGATTAAAAGCCATTTTTGTCTTTTCATTTTCTAGTTTGACTTTCCATTTTCTACTTTGCTTTTTCATTTTCCAATTTGCTTATCCATAGTGTAGATTGTATTTTTATTTTATCATTATCATTCTCATTTTATTTTTTGCAGGAAATACATCCCATAAGCCTCCCATAAATCCTTACATTTTACAAGTTAAAACTTTACCAAAACCAAGATGAATAAACCATTGCTTCATGTTCTCTGTGGATTTTAGATGTTACATGGGCTGTACATTACTCAGAGAGAAACCTGTGTGCAGTGAGAGGATCGACTGTGCTCATTCAGTGTGAATATAAGTATCCAGAGCCACACAAAGTGGACTCCAGGATGTGGAGTCATAATGATGTGGACTGTACTGGAAAATCATATGTCTGTCACAGTAATAATGCAAACATTAGTGCTGAGTACACAGGCAGAGCGGAATTCTTGGGGAACAATGTTAGGAACTGTACACTGCAGATAAAGAACATTAGAGAGACGGATGCTGGAGAGTATAGATTCAGATTCATAACGAACGGGTGTGAGAAGTGTGGTGGACCTGGAGTGACTCTTCAAGTTGATGGTGAGTCTTTGCCTCAAATACCAGCTAATTCTTGCATAACAAAAACTAAATTTAGCATCTTTGCAGAGTATTTATGTTTTATGTGAAATACATATTATGTTTTAAATTACAGAAAATATTTCATGATTTATGTTATAAAGAGGAGAATTTCAATACCGACAGAAGTATATGCAAATTAGGACAATAAGAATCTAACTACACAGCAAAGTATCACATGTGTTCCGGAAAAAATGCTTAACTTTCTTTTAGTGATAGGATTTCTCCTCTTTGCCATATTGTTTACAGCCTGTGTCAGAAAAACCTGATGTACTACTTTACAAATTTCCAGTTAATTTTTATATTATATCATTTTAGAACTGAAGGTGGTGATGACCTCATCCAGAGCAAATGGAACACTAAGGGAAGGAGACTCTGTAAATCTGACATGTGACACAGACAGCTGCTCTCTCAGCCAATCAGAATTCACCTGGTTTAAGGACAACCAGACGCTCCCAGAAACACAGTCCACACTTCACTTCAGTCCCATATCCTATCATCACACAGGAAAATATTCATGTGCTTTAAATGGCAGAACGGTAGCTGTATCTAACAAAGTGAATATCATTGTTGAAAGTAAGTTCATCAACTTTAATAGAGGTATAAGTCTTTAATTTGACTGTAAAATGTATGTATATACCATTTTAATAATAGAGGAATTAAGTACAGTACTGACACAACAGTGCAGAACAGCAGCTGAAATCATATCTCTGAAAATTAACTGTAGGCTTTATGAAGCAGGGTTATTGTTGTGTGACTCAGTATTTCATTTACATATGAAAATTCCAAACATTGTTGCTTCATTATTGTTGTTTTTGTATATTATGCTTCGTGTTTACATTCCAACACATTTGTTTGGTTCAAGATGACCGTTATTTGTAATATTCATGTTACATATTGGGATTTTATAGTTTATCAGTGTATCCTATTAACACGATTAATCCCTCACTGTAAGTTCTGAGGACACTGGGCAGTAACACTGTAAGGTTACTCCATTACTACTGTCAGCTCTGTAAACAGTGTGTATCTGCCAGCTTAGAGTTTGTGATTCTGATTGGGTCAAGCAACATTTTCCTTGTTGTCTCTGTTTACAGGTCATTTTAATACAATAATTATAATTACTGTTGTGGGAGTATTATTGCTTATGTTAATTGGAGCTGTTGTGATTATCATCTTCATGAAAAGGTAATGTATTGTCTTTAAAGACCTGTGTCACTACATTCCTTTCTTTTAAATTTAAAATTAAACTGTGCTGCTAAGTATTAACGTGTCTCTGTTACAGGGTAAATTCACTCAATGTGGACAAAAATCAGGGAACCAAGAAGGTATGATCTAGTTTCTGATTATTTCTTGGCCACATGATGTAATAGGTTTTATTGACAATTTTTTATCATTTGAATTCACAGAGAGAAGACAAGGACCTGTGCAGCGATTCAGAAACACAGGCTGAGTCAGCTATTTATGCCAATTGCATGGCAAGTCTAAGCTGTACTGCTTTCATCAAAATGTATATCTATGTAAATGTGGTTTTGTGCTTTATTCATTTCCGTTTTCCGCCTTAGGATTCTTCTAAGGAGAAGAGTGGGACCAGCAACAGATATTCTGAGGAATCCTGTGAGCTCCCAGACTATGAAAATGTAAATATCGAAGAAACACTTTATGAAAATGCAAATATCGAAGAAACGGCACAATAACAGACCTGGTGGAAGAGAAACAACTTGGGTCAAAAAACACATGGAAATAAATGTACAGGTTTTTATTGGGGTTACAGTTTTAGTATCTGTGGCTGTATTTTCTCTTGCCACACTGATAATTCTCAAAATACATTTCATGTTTATACATACAGACAAACTGTATTTGAAAATGTGAAAAATAAAAACTGAATAAAGCTTTTCTTTTGCTTATATTGTCAATTCACATAAAATGTATAAATAGGCTCCAGCCCCCCCCCCATGCCCCTGACAAAGATAAGCTGTCAGAGGATGGATTGATGGATGGATGGATGGATGGATGGAAGGAATGTTTATAGGCTTTAGACTACCGTGAGACTCTGTCCACAGTCCACTGATAAGTTGTACAGAAGGTGGCAAAACAAGGAAAACCCAGGTCCCCATCTGAAATCATTCTTAATACTGTTGTGTCATCTGCCAATTTGATGAATGTGTTTGAGGGGTATGAAGGGATGCAATTATATGTGTAAAGGGAATAGAGGAGAGGATACAGCCCAGTGCTGTGCCGGTGCTGAGTGTCAGACCTGAGGAAAGGTAGGACTCGAGTCTGACTGGCTGTGAGCGGTTAATTAAAAAGTCATAGATCCACATGCACAAGGAATTACTGAAACCCAGTAGGTCCTTAAGTATGGTGACCAGCCTGCTGGGGACAGCAGTGTTGAAAGCTGAGCTGTAATCTATAAAAAGCATCCTCATATATGTCCCCTTCTGATCAAGATGGGCCAATGCTACTTGGTAGGCTGCAGCAACAGCATCTGTCATGGATCTATTTGCTCTGTAGATGCTGATCTAGTGAGGTGGGGAGAATGGATCTGATGTGCCTTATTTTTTATCTTTGTTCAATTTATGACATAAAAAGTAACTATGCATCAATGTTTCGTGAACATATTGTGCATTTTTTCCATTTCCTACAGAGACTGTGTTTACATCTTTTCCATAAAAAATGACCAAAATATGTTATTTATCGAGGTGTGCCCAAACTTTTGCATACTACTGTATGTGTAAGTGCCACTGGTCTGTCATGATTCAGACAGCAGATGTTTGCCTGTTTGGGCACTGGTACGATAGTGGCTGATTTCAGACAGTAACCTGGAACAGGGAGAAATTGAAGATGTTTGTAAACACTTCTGCAAGTCGTTGGGTGCAGTCTCTATTTCCCCAGGATCCCACCAGGCCCTGCAGCCTTCATGGCGTTAACAGTGCTGAGAATTTGGCTCGCCTTCTGTGTTTGTGTGTTGAGTACAGGATGGGTGTTAGCATAGCTGGCCAGGATGTAGCTGCATTGTTCGATCCTTTTGTCTCAAAGCTGAGGTCCTCTGCCAACGAGGCACTGTTATCTAAAGCTTGATCTTTGTTACTCCTGCAGGTAGTAATGTGCTTAATGCCCTGCCTTTGTCACTGAGTATATTTTAACCTCTATGTTTACCCTCTGTCCGAGAAGAGATAATCTCAGTTCAACACCTTCAGTTCACATATCAGACCTGGTCTTAATTTTTTTGACAAATGTATGGCTCCATTTGTTTTTCTGAATATTACCGCCAGCCGCAAGGTTAGAACATCTTATATGGTAGGTGATAAGGATTCTTTCCAGTGTCTTTCCAGTCACGACAACTGATGTAAGTTCCTTCCCTGGAATTCTCTGATTACACTGCACAACAAAGTTTTTGCTTCTTGAACAGTGTGAAGTGTTCCTTATAGATTTTTGGCTGCTGATGACGAAAATCACATCCAAAATCTTCAGTTTCGTCATGTTTTTTTCTTATATTTGTGTCCAAAAATTTTTGTTTCTGCAGGAGACCTATCAACAATGTTTTGTACAGTCTGGGAATGTCCAGGCATGGAATCAGGCCAGGTTGGAAACTGTTCTGTGGAAGTTTGTGGCCCAGGCATGCCTGGGTACGCCGAAGCCAGCTTGACACTGCCTCAGCAGGCTATAAAAGTGCTCAATGGGTTAATATAGACCTGATAGTGTGTATGTATTGTTTCAGAACATTGCATTGCCTCAATAGCAATGTAACAAGTAAGCTAGATCCTATAGACGTTTGCAGGATGATTGGTGTCGGTCGATACTATATGTCTTGTCAATGTCGTAACAGCCGTGATAAATTCTGCTATATTTGTGGAGAATATACACTTGCGCTTCAGAGACGCTCAATGATTGCTCTTGTGAAGAAAGCATATCATTTGTACTTCGGCTGTAAAATTGGTGGTCAAGACAAGGAATGGGCGGCTCACATTTGTTGTGCGACCTCTCTGTCTGAGAGCCTGACTCAGAGGCACTCGAAAGACAATGCCGTTTGCTGTCCCGATGAACAGAAAGACCAGGTAACAGATTGTTACTTCTGTTTGACTAATGTGCCTGGTTTCTCTGCCAAGAACAATATGAATACCCTAGTAATTGAATACCCTAATGTGCCTTCAGCAATGAGACCCGTGCCACATGACGACAGTCTTCCAATTCCGTAACCACCAGAGGAATGGACCTTAGACGAACCAGATGAAGAAACTGCAATGCAGGGAACTGGCAGTGACAATGATCTGAATTTTGAACCGTGCTCATCGGAGTGGTGGCTGAGGCTAGGATTCTGTACCAATAATCGGAAGGTTTTGGATTCAAATCCTGTGAATGCCCTGATTGTTGGACCCTTGAACAAGGCCCTTAACCTGCAATTGCTTCACCCTGGGTATGATGTTAATCTACATCCAGCCCTTTAAAGAGGTCCTCCAACTTACAGGGAATATCTTGGGGGTTGGTAGCAGGATTGGCACTCCCACTGGTCCATTTGGACTAGCGTGGTGCTGAGGTATCACCTGCCCCATGGCTGCACTCAGGTTCTCATCCCTGAGGTGGTTTGTCGTGTGGTGGGTGTGACAAGGCACTGTAATCAGTGCATGCTCCTTACCTCCTCCATCATCAGGTGATCCAAATCTCATAACACAGTCAGAATTTAACGATCTCATCAGATTTAGGTCTGTCGAGAACAAAAGCTGAATTGCGGGGTTCGAGACTGCAGGAATGGTGTTTATAGCTGTCACCAGGTATGAAAATCTCTGCTGATTACTGTTGGGCACTGCAACATGATACACCTGATATTGAATATAAATGAAAATCAAGAATAAAACACTTCTAATTATGCTGAACTTAATAGAGTATGAAAATCATAAATGTGATTAAATACGTTATTGCTGGTAAACAGTTAACTGTCTATTTCTCAGAGTTCCTACGTGATGCAGCAAAACCAAAACTATATTGTGCAAACCCACCAGGTACCTGTCACAATCAGCAAAAACTTTTCAGGAAGCAAAACTTTTCAAAAAAATTGTTGTGCAGTGTTATTGAATTTGCATTATTGAATTCACAACTTGACCCTATTCCAGTGTATTTTAGGTTATCAGCCTTCATCAGATCATCGCTTCTTTGTAGGCTTGGGTCAGATGGCAGCTGGTATGATGTCTTGGGTGGTCTGACAATAGGTGAAAGACCAACAAAGAAGAAATTGAATAAATATTCTATTCAGCCTTGTTACGATCCCCGGTCTAGGGTCAGGGACCGCCAGAAAGGTAAGGGAAAGGGAGAGGGGAAGACAAGACAACCAGGGAATAAGGGAACGGGAACAAGGGACACAAGAGGTTCTTTTTTTATGGTTTTTTTATTTTTCACAAACACGTTCACAAACACGATGTGCAACAAACTTCGGGAACACATTCCTAGAACACGGCACGTAACAAGCCTTTAAAATCTTTGTTGTTCCACAGCTGTATATAAAACAGTTTTGGCATTTCCCTCAACTGACCATATCACAGGGACGTAAACTTACTGTACATTCATTCAGTATAAATAACCCATTTTACTATTTTGAGTGTTGTTCTTAAGGGAGGGTTAAGACAATGTGATAAGGCACTAACGTGGCTGTTAGCATATTTGTTAACAATCCACTGCTTCTGTATGTTTTTAGTCAATGAAGACAAAGAATCTGATAAATGTACATTTAAATGTGTCTTACAGTGCTTCAGTTACCCTAAAGTATTAATCTGTGCCATAAGCTGAACTGACACAAGGAGAACATGCAACCTCAAAACAAACAAAGCAAAGATTCACACCTATAACCTCAGAGTTGTGAGCTAATACTACTGCTCAGCGAGCCACCAAACTCTGGGCATTTGCTACCTATATTTAGTCATTGAGCAATACAGTGTAACATAAGAACATAAGAACTATACAAACGAGAGGAGGCCATTCAGCCCATCGTGCTCGCTTGGGGAGAACTTAACTAATAGCTCAGAGTTGTTAAAATCTTATCTAGCTCTGATTTAAAGGAACCCAAGGATTCAGCTTGCACTATGTTATCAGGAAGACTATTCCATACTCTGACTACACGCTGTGTAAAGAAGTGCTTCCTTAAATCCCAATGCAAAATAACCTTGTACCACAAGGGATATAGAATAGCATATATCATACAAACTAAGGTATATAGAAAAGAAATAATAAAATATAGACAATGCGAATTATTATAACGAGCATTGATAATCAATCCCCATAATCAATTAAAAGTACAAAGCAGCTGCAAAACTATTTACACTCGGACGTGCCATCATCACCCACCTTCACACACGGACTGGGGAGCCCGTTTCAGTCCTGGCAGGAGATCAACACGTGAGTCCCGAGAAAGTGCCAGGCGAAGCGCGCTCTATCCCACGGCTGAGCTCCGGTCAGTACTGGGATCTCCCCCTTCCTTTATACTAAATTTAGAGTTGCGTGCGGGCAGAGGGTAAGCTGGCCAGGCTCACCCCTTCCCCCCAGGCAATATGTACTCCAATTCCCCCTTTTTGTCCGAGTGATGCTGCTTGCGATAATATAATACAATGGGCGTCCTGGCGCCAGGTGTCTTTCCGCAATGCCTCCCTGTTCCCCCCTAAAGGCAATATACTGTATGGTGCTGTATACCGACCCCCCATCTCCCATCTCCCAAAACCAAGATAAGCATTCTGCATGCCGATCTAATGGCCCAGATTAGTATCCTGGCTTCTTTTATGAACTCAAGTTATTTATGGCGAAATAGGGTTTTTTACAGGGGATCGGTAAATAACATGTTCGTGCAGTCTAGTAACATTCGAGGTGAACCATGAACGATGGATCTGAATTTCAGAATGATCAGTCCACACG